GTGAGCTCACTTGTAATTTACGTTGGTCAGTGCCTTAGATGATTTTCGTATTTGTTTGGCCATAAAGTGACAAAATTAGGAAGCAGAAGAAGAAACAGGAAAAACTATTGGAAGAAAGATTGATTCGAGGTCAAAAACTCCGATAAGTTTCTAAAGATAAACTACAATGCTTTATTTGATGCAATCATATCATAAATTAAGATTGAGCATCAATCTATGCAAAATGCAAGTTAAATATTCTTTGAGCCAAAAAAAATTAAGACACATTTTGAGATGTACTTCCAGCAATTTTAGATTGATTGGTAACCGATAATATTTTACTAATTCGAACTAGAAAATATATTGAGAAGGTCATTGGTAATGTATTTCTTCCTTTTTTGTTTTGTTTTCTCTTTCTTTTTCCTTTTACAACGAAGATATAAGGTGGGAAGGCATTATTCTTTGCTTTATTTTTGCGGAAGAAGCATATAGTTTTTTTTTCTTTATTAATATTCTTCTCTTTTTTTGTACATTTTTTTATTTCCTTTGACTCCCCATTTTCTTCTCCGGTTCTTCCAATGAAACTTGGCTAGTTGTCAACGCATTTGGGTGAAGGGCTATTTTGTCATTCTCCAGAATCTAGCGGTAAAATAAAGATGCCATTAGTTATGAGGGGTGAATGTAATTTGACCTAACCTCAAGGATTGATTGGTAATTTGGTGAAACCTCAAGAGAGTTAAATTTAATTAACCTAATATCTAATAGGGTGTGTTACAAAAGTTTTAACTACTTATATTCTAGCCCTATAGGATTTTAGCAATGGTTTAGAGCTAGAAGAAATTATAGGCCTTTGGACTTTTACCAACAATCTAATTTACTTCGTATTTTAGATCTTTCCAACAACCCGCTATGAAACTCAATTAGTCAATCAAGACAAGTAGCAAAATGTAACTTTGTTGATCCCTAATAAGAATAAAATCTACGGTTTCTAAAACCTAAAAAGTGTAGACAACTCAAAACGACAAAGTCGTAACAAGAAAATTTTTGGACACAAATCTTATCGAAACAAACAAATGACAGCAAAACTGGCAAAGAGAATAAGGCCCAGTTTGAGTGAATTCGATAGCAATGAGTGAGGAATTGTCTGGTTCTGTCTAACTTTTCTGTGTGTTATGATTTTTAGTACATAACTACATTAATTGTTGTGCAGAATATATGTGAAATATTTTTTTTATACACATCAACTTTTTCACGAGTACAACACTACAATATTATAGTACATCAAATAATATATGTGAAATATTTTTTTTATACACATCAACTTTTTCACGAGTACAACACTACAATATTATAGTACAAAAAATTATTCTCCTCATCTTCCACAAAAGACATCCCAAGCAGACCCCAAGTCTTCGGAGATGACAGTCCAGAAAGGTATACATGGCAACAAAGTCATGGCAATTTGGTGCAATTATGCTGATATTGGCTACTCTTTTGGCTGTCCTAAAGATATGGTTACTATTGATGCGTAGCTAACGCGTATAAAAGTTGATATACAATTGTATTAGTATGATTATTCTAATTAATCTCTTAGTAGATGTTGAAAGAAGGAAACAATCACAAAGGAGGATATGACAAATGAAGAGAAAGAAAAAAAAAAAAAAGAAGTTTCCATGTTTTTTCTTTGTGTGAATAAAGAAAAACGAAGCAAACAATAAAAACTAAAAATAAAAAGAGGAAGAAGTAAAGAACAAGAGAAATTAGAAAAAGGAGACGACGAAGATCAAAACAAAGGAGGAACTCTATGCAAAAAGCATAAAAGGAGGAATTGAACGCTAATACTCTTAACTTTTATGATATTTCATTTTGACCCTTGGGCAATAAAAAATGCCCTTATGCATTTTCCAAAACTTTAATTGTAGCCTTAAATTCTACATTTCCATAAATAGTTCATGGCGGATTTAACACTAGGCTCATCAATTGTAGAAAATGAAGAACAAAAATGAACAGACAATATTTATGTTGACATTAGTAACATATCTAGAGATATTATTGCATATCAAATAAATAATTTACAATCAATAGATTTATGATCCCATGCTAATTCCATCGGGGTTTATGGCATCCTCTGACCCCAAAACTTGGCAACCGTTAACTTTTGCAATTAAAGAAGTACTAATGGATGATGCTGTTTCTCCTCTCAATCTTCAGATTTATAATTTGCTTTTCAGTAAGATTTTGTCTTTAAGAAGCTTCTCACTCTTGTGCTTAACTAAAGAAAGAAATATTCTGCATGATTAATTTACTTTGTTTTGAAAGGTCTGTCTAACAGATACTTATTGAACATTGTTAAGATGTACTTGAAGTAATAAAAAATTAGAGGAAGAGATCGTTTATTAAATGTCTATAGGACCAGAAAATCAAAAACAAATAATTTGTAAAACAACTCAGAATTCTATATAATGAATTAATATAGTAGAAAACCTAAATTGGAAAAGAAAATATAGTAGAAAAAAAAATATTCAACCCTTCCATTGAAGGTATGATACTCTCCTTTTTGGACTATCCCAAAATATTTGTCATCTTACCAAAGTCAAAGTTATATTTAATCTCCCTTTCCAATGCTATTAATTTTGAATTTTTTTAAGGCAATTTTAAAAATAAATCCACAAACATCTTGGGATGGAAGAAATATAATAGTTATTCCTTTTTATACTATTTGTGTTTCTGTAATTTATCTCTCAATAAGCAAACATTTTTTTCATTAAATTTTTGGCAGTGCACCGGTAATATCTATAGAAACTGAACCTAGATTACGTGTTGGTATTTATTTGCAAATTCTTTAGATATTGCAAATCCCTAGATTTTTAGATGGCGATGACATAGGCATTTCAATTTTACTAAATGCTAATGGTATATCTCAATTTGTTAATGAGACTCCATATAATCGTTATAGTTTTTGTCAAAGAGCAAGGAACCTGTGGAGTGGCATTTACAAAAACTAGTGCTATTTCTCTTTGCATAAACATTTCTGAACAAATGATTTAATATTGCTATTATATAATATATCAAAAAAATATGGGTACACATCCAAGTAATTTACAAATATTCAACCTTATTTAAACTGTATTTAATAAAAAATTAGTGAGTTTAGAATTCCATAATTTTATATATACAGCTTTTTAATTGGCCAAAGATTTAAACTTGTCAAGTAATTAATCTGGATCAAGATAAAATTACTCTTAGACCGGCGGCCTACAAAGAAAGAACTTTTACGGTCCATCTTCAAAACTAAGACGGCCCACATGTTAAAGGAAGGACAATTTGCCAGATTTAAACTTGAGGCCAAGATTTTATTTATGGTCCTAAACATGAGTATTTTCAGTATTGTAATTATCTTGTATGTTTTTCATAGTTTGGAAGAAAGCTATCATGTTTATTCTTCATTTTTTTTCCACTTGATTTTGTCATTTAAAACCAGACAATGAAAAGGTCTAAGATTCAAATGATTTTTAGTGTCTAAAGAGCACATGCAAATAATTCGAAACTTCTAATTGAAATACTAATGCATTCACACAAAATTCTCATTTAGGCCGCAAATTTCTCCAAACTAAAGTCTGTTCACGTGACAATGCTGGCCCTACCAACATGACTCAAAGTCTTTCAGCTTTTTTTTTTTTTTTTTTGACAAATTTAAGCCTAAGCAAAAACACGAAGAAAGTACTTCGTTGGAAGTGTGGAAAAAGTTTTACAACGACTAATAGTGACATACATGAGTAACATTAATTAGTCATGCAACTTTCGACCTATAAGTAGGGGCTTTCTGATTTTTGCTCGACGCACTCAAAACTTCTCTTGAATATTGTGTGAAAGCATTGATTAGTAAAGAAAAGCGAAAAAAAAAACATATCTGAAGATCAAGTCTGTTAGTTTGTAACAATATGATCAAATTCACTCCATTCATTGTGTTATGGTTTGTTTTTTTGGCAGGCAGGATTGGTCTTGGTTTTCAGGCAAGAGCACATTCAAACGTAAGTTGCTTTGAGAACGAGCGAAGAGCTCTCCTTGAGTTTAAGAAAGATCTAGTTGACAAGTCAAATCGTTTGGCATCTTGGATTGGAGAAGATTGTTGCTCGTGGGAAGGAGTTGGCTGCCTCAAGAACACTCGACATGTGGTGAAACTTGATCTGCGTAATAATGCTGCTTTTGATCTTGGTCGATTGTGCTACGAGGACACGCAAAATTATTTCTCTATCTATGTTGAAACTTGCTTGGGAGGCCAGATAAGTCCTTCGTTAGTGAACTTGCAGCATTTGCATTACTTGGATTTAAGTTCGAATTATTTTGCAGGAATTTGGATCCCAACATTTATAGGATCCTTGAAAAATTTGAGATATTTGAACTTCTCTAATGCAGGTTTCAGTGGGACAATTCCTCCTCAATTAGGAAATCTCTCAGCTTTAGACTATCTAGATCTTGGTAATAAAATTGGAAGTTTTAGTGATGAGATAAGTCGTTATTATTTGTCGACAAAGAGTCTCTGGTGGATCACTAGCCTTTCTTCCTTGAAACATTTGGACCTCTCGGGAGCGGACTTAGGAGAGGCCCAGGACTGGTTAGAAGCACTTAATAAACTTCGTTTCCTATCCTCATTGACATTAGACTTTTGTCGTTTTTATTCCTTTCCTCATATTGCACACCTTAATTTCACATCTCTTACCTCACTTAACCTCGAAACGAATGACTTTAACTCCACAATCCCGCTCTGGTTGTTTAATTTGACTTCACTCGTTCATCTCGACCTTAGTTTCAACAATTTTTTTGGTCCAATAGTTCATCATAACCTGCAGCATTGGACTTCACTAAGCTACCTCGATCTTAAATACAATCAATTCAATACTTCACTACTTGATCCACTTTTCACTTTGAGCAATCTTGTCTATATGGACTTGAGTAATAACCAAATCCAAGGCCCGCTCCCCTTCGGCCTAGGCAACCTAACTTCTCTTTCCGTGCTGCACATGGGATATAACAAGTTTGAAGGCAAAATCCCAAGTGCGATTGGGCAACTTCGAGAACTCACTGAACTCGATCTCAGTTGGAATGGGTTCAATGGTACCATTCCATCCTCTCTTTGGAGGCTGAGTGAGTTGAAATCCTTGGATCTATCTGGCAATCCATTGAGTGGGGAGCTGCGTGACATTCACTTTGCCAAACTGGCACAACTGAAAATATTACACTTATCCTCCCCTCTACTTGCTCTGAATGTGAGTTCCTCGTGGGTCCCACCATTCCAGCTTCAAGTTATAAGAATGCGTTCCATCAAGATAGGTCCCAAATTTCCTCTCTGGCTTCAAACTCAGAAAACAGTCGAATATTTGGTCATGTCAAATGCAAGCATCTCAGATACTATCCCAGATTGGTTTGTGAGAGTGTGTCATGGTATAAAACATTTGAATTTCTCCAACAATTACATGATAGGAAAACCACCTGTGTTCAACGGTAATAGAGGTTATAAATACAGACGAAAATTTTCTTTGGCGTCCAACAAATTTGAGGGGCCTTTGCAATTGTTACCAACAGATATTGCTGAATTGCATCTCCAAAATAACTCACTGCAAGGGATTATTCCACAGCCCAACATTAACAAGACATTGGATATTCTTCGAGTACTAGATCTTAGTGATAACCACTTCAATGGCAGCATCCCTGATTCTTTGTGTAGTTTACAAATGCTTGTTGTCCTGGATCTTTCAAACAACCAGCTCTCCGGAAGGATCCCTTCATGCATTGGTAAGCTTAAAACATTGGGTGTGCTAAATCTAGCAAACAACAGTCTCTGTGGGCACATTCCAATTTCATTGGGGCATCTCAATGGTCTCCAGTCTTTGCATTTGGACCGAAACAAGTTTACGGGGATGGTCCCATTCTCGCTCAGACATCTGAAAATTTTGCAGTTTCTTGATGTTGCAAAAAATGGACTGGAGGGCATTATACCATCTTGGATTGGGGATGAACTATCTAGTCTGAAGATCCTTGTGCTTGAATCTAATAATTTCCATGGTGACATTTCCATGAGCCTCTGCAAATTATCATCCCTTCAGGTTTTAAATTTGAAAGACAACAACTTAACTGGACATATACCTCGCTGTTTCAACAACTTTACAGCAATGACAGTGACAGAATTGGACTCTACAGGTATTTATGTCGGCATTTATGTCCTGCTTAAAGTCAGTTGGCTAGATACCTATAGTGAAGATCTTTCAGTTTTCATCAAAGGTGGAATGTTGAACTACACCTCGACGAATGTGGCATATGTTAGATTCATGGGGCTCTCAGGAAATAAACTAAGTGGGGAAATACCTATTGAGTTAATGTCTCTTGTTGGATTGCAAGGTTTGGATTTATCTAGAAACCATCTAAGTGGAAGAATCCCAGAAAACATTGGGAACTTGAACCAACTTGAGTCTCTAGATTTATCCAAAAATGATCTTTCTGGTCCAATTCCCCAAAGTTTGTCGAACCTAGATTCTCTGGGCTGGCTGAACTTGTCGTTCAACAAGCTAACCGGTCGAATTCCATCCGGACGTCATCTGCAGACATTAGACGACCCAACCATTTACATGGGAAACAGTGGGCTTTGTGGTGAACCGCTAGACAAAAGCTGCCCTGATGGTAAATCAAATGCCAGAGAATCTGATGGTGATCATGAGGATGGCAAGGAGTCTTATTTTGGTTGGTTTTATGCTGGTTTGGGACCTGGTTTTGCTGTTGGACTCTTGGGATTCTTCAGTGTCCTATGTTTCAAGAAGTCATGGCGCTATGCATACTTCGGATTTCTGGAGAACTTGTTGAATAAAGTATCGGTAGAAATTGAATTGCTAAAAAGGAAGTTTGATTGAGTGATTTTACATGTATCATCAATTATATAGTTGTAATGTCATGGAACTTCATCTTATTGTAAAATAATAAAGTATAAATAAGACCTTTCTCTGACAAAAATATCTTGCGCAGAAAAAAAGTTCAAAAGCAATGAATTAACCAACACATTTAACTTTGGAAGATATTTCTCCTTATAACACAAATGTAGTTTTTAACTAGAAATAATATACTAATTAACTCATCAATCTATTAAAATAATCGAAGGTCAACAAGGGACTGGTACAATTAAAAATATGTATGCAGTCTAATTAGAGTGATAAAATATTCAAACTCAATGGAGACTGAAAAATGCCTCATTTTGTTTATCAGAAGATGTATGAATAATTGGAGTTAGCCTCTCTCTCTCTCTCTCTCTCTCTCTCTCTCTCTCTCTCTCTCTTTTTCAAGAAGGATCAACAATAATTTAGTTATTTGAGATTAAAGTAAATTCAAAATATTAAAAGCATATTTTAGCAATTTTTTCCCCTCAAATGTTACCCTTCAGCCTCTAAGATGGCATCATAAACGAACCACCAGTTTAAATGGAACACTGACCCTTTTGGCTAAATTCATATTTTGTTCTATGAATCAGGATAAACCAGGCAATTAAATTTTAAGCTACAAGCTATAACAGCCAAGTTGGGCTATAACTACTTACACTATCTATTAGGTACTTGCTGTGGCAATTTGATCGCTCAAACAATCTTCCTTGCAAAAGTTCTCCCATGTCCCAAGGGTGTGACAGCATAATAGAGACGGCCAGTAAGTGCAGCTTGATAAATAATCCAACACTACCATAACATCCAACCCAGAAAAAGCCAGACGACAAGCATGAAGAACAAAAAGCTGTCTCTATAAGTCAAAATTATGTGTTTGAATCAAACTTTTTTGAATTTAAACACTAGCAAGACTTGTCTTGAAACCTCCAATAGCATTAAGTAACAATAATATACCTCAAAATTTGTAGAATCCACTAACAAAAATTGACAGGTTATCGATGCTTGTACAATAATAAAAATAAACCTAATTGCCAATTAAAATAACCAAAATCCAATTCCAAGTACTGGAGCAGGGATTCGAGGTATGCAATGGGTTATTTAATTTCCCTTGTTCTCGAAGAGTTTGCTTGATCCGATATATCCGAATGGAATGATTTTTTCACAAATAATTATTAATTTGTAAACATGACAAGTAGGGTCGTACCCTCAGGGATTGGGGATATTTGTCTCTTTCGAAATTCAAAGTAACACGGGGGGTGTTTTTGTGTAAACGATGACAATCAAAAGAATTCAAATAAAAATAAATAGCTAACTAAAAATTAAATGACAATTCACTGAAATTAGATTAATAGTAATTAAAGGTCTAACCAAGAAATAACTTCAACAATAGTTCACCTAATTGATCATCGATGCACAAGCAATTCCAATTATCTATTAATAAATAGGTTATAACTGCCAAATAAGTGATGACAGTCAACCTCTCCTTACTGCGTCGGTGATTAAGGTACGCCCGTTAACCATTGCTCTAATTTAGAAATAATTCTAGGTACGCCCGTAAGATTTAATTTCTCAATTGCCTTACGTATTCGAGGAGCCCTATTCTAACCAAATAACGCACTACCAGGGTTATTTCAGATTAGCCCGCGTACCTTCCTGACACAAATCTAATCATGCCAGTTGTCACTTATTCAAGGCAATTAAATAATTACGAATTTAATGTCCTAATTGATAATAGACTATCAAGTTAACTAATTATCTGGATCCAAGACAATCAATTAATTAAATAATCATAAGTACTGCAATTAAGGAATATGCGAATACCAGTAAATAAAAGAAAAAGATAAAATTAAATCGATCTCAAATTTTTAGGCGAACCAAAACCTCCGTTGTTTCTTGACTAGAGTGAGAAAATTAGTTCATATTTGATGCGAAAAACCCCTGCAAAACTGTAGCAACAGTGGCGCCCATCGTCACAGAAATTGGGAAAATGCAATTCGTTTGCGCAACGGAGGAAAATGAAGTTACAGAGAAGAATTCAATGTTAGGGTGATTATTTAAATCTAACCACTGGTGAAAATCATCACCTATTAAACCCAAGATCTATATGGTGATTATTAAGAAATACATTAACTATAAAATAGCGGAAGCGTACCTGAATCCATATTGATAAACTTGATACTTGAATCTCTAGAGATTTGGGGTGGCCTTCCAGGTCAACAGGTATTCACCGATCCTTTGAGAGAGGCCTTTAGTTTCTCTCTGGTATCTTTCCTGACGATGGGATATCAGGGAAGGGGTAGTTTGTGGTATTAGAAAATACGACAACTAAAACGATACCTGTGACCTGGGGACCATAACCCTATTTATAGGTAACATTCCTGTTACCTTTTGGAGCCCTATTTCAGCCCATCATTGAAATAGGAGCCCATAAGTTTCTACACATTAAAGGGCCCACATCCTATTAGATACATTAAACCCAAACTATATTTGATCAGTTGAATTGGGTTTAATCTTAATTGACAGTTTGCAATACATAATTATTCACATATAAGTCCAATGTTGGATTAAGGATCCAACAATCTCCCACTTGGACTATATGTGTAACCTTATAATTATGTTTTGCAATTAACCGTATGAGCTCAACTTTACTGTCATTATCACAATGTATCTGCAACCAATTCGGTCCATCAATTACACCAATATAGGATCAAAGCGGCCTTTGTTACAATTTCGTAACTCGACCCATCAATGGTCACATATATCAATGCAATTGAATGACATGAATTATGATGTGGATGTATAGCATGGAAATTTCATGTAATGTGATCAAAACATGCCTATTTCTAATTGGTCCACCTTAAATTTTATGAGATCAAACCATACCAAAGTTAGAGTGCAAATAAATCCAGACTTTATTTATGCATAAAATATCCTTAAATCCTTAATAACTGAAAAAGTATCATAAGAGCATTTAAAATAACAAACTCCCACTAAAACTGTACATCATTTAATACGACACCCATATGAGCAGTATGCTCATGAAACATTTTGGGTGGCAATCCTTTAGTAAGCGGATCCGCAACCATGGAGTTTGTCCCGATGTGCTCTATTGATAACTGTCCATTCTGCACTCTTTCTTTAACAGTCAGGAACTTGATATCTATATGTTTAGATTTGGTCGAGCTCTTGTTGTTATTGGAATATAAGACTACTGACTTATTGTCACAGAATAATTTGAGTGGTCTTTCAATGCCATCCACTACACGTAATCCCGTGATGAAATTTCGCAGCCAAATACCTTGGTTGGATGCCTCATAGCAAACTATAAACTCTGCAGCCATAGTGGAAGATGCTATGAGGGACTGTTTAGCACTCTTCCAGGATATGGCACCTCCAGCCAACAAGTAGACATAGCCTGACGTTGACTTCATAGTATCTTTGCATCCAGCATAATCGGAGTCAGTATACCCAATGATCTCCAACTCATCTGACTTCCGATACGTGAGCATGTAGTCTTTTGTTTTCTGTAGATACCGTAAGACCCGTTTGGTTGCTTTCCAATGATCTAATCCAGGATTACTCAAATATCTACCCAACATTCCAGTAATGTACGCAATATCCGGACGCGTACATACTTGAGCATACATTAGACTCCCTACTGCTGAGGCATAAGGAATCTTTTGCATCTCTCTTTCCTCAAAAGCATTCTTGGGACACTGCTCAAGACTAAATTTGTCTCCTTTAACCACAGGGGTGTCACCTGGTTTACAATTTTGCATGCCATACTTTTTAAGAACCTTTTCGATATAGGTCTTTTGTGATAGTCCTAAAATACCCCGAGAGCGATCACGGTGTATCTGTATGCCTAACACAAAAGATGCATCACCAAAATCTTTCATCTCAAAATTCTTAGTTAGAAATTTCTTGGTTTCATGCAATAGACCAATATCGTTACTGGCAAGCAAAATGTCATCAACATATAATACCAGAAAAATATGTTTGCTCCCACAGAATTTATGGTATATGCAATCATCTACTAAATTCATCTCAAAACCAAATGAAATAATCACTTGATGAAATTTGAAATACCATTGTCGAGACGCTTGTCTGAGCCCATAGATGGATTTTTTAAGTTTGCAAACCATATTCTTTGGATCTCCAGATACAAAATTTTCTGGTTGCACCATATAAATCGTCTCATCAATGTTACCATTGAGAAACGCTGTCTTTACATCCATCTGATGTAACTCAAGATCAAAATGTGCCACTAATGCCATAATAATTCTAAAAGAGTCCTTTGAGGAGACTGGAGAGAAGGTTTCTTTATAGTCGATACCTTCCTTTTGTGTAAATCCCTTAGCGACAAGATGAGCTTTGAATCTTTCCACATTGCCTTTCGAATCCCTTTTGATTTTAAATATCCATTTACAACCAATGGGTTTCGCACCTTCGGGCAATGAAACAAGATCCCAAACATCATTGTCCTTCATGGATTTAATCTCCTCATTCATGGCCTCGATCCACTTTTGAGAATTTGAACTTTCCATGGTTTGACGGAAGTTGATTGGATCATCTTCCATCAATCCAATGTCATCCTCATGTTCTTGGAGAAAAACAATGTAATCATCTGGCACTGCACTTCTCCTTTCTCTAGTGGATCTTCTTAATGGCACTGGTTCTTGAAGAGGAAGAGTTTGTTCTTCTATAACAGTTTGTTCTTCGACATTGTCTTGATTTGTCATGTCATGACCAAGTTCAGGAATAGGGTCCTGAGCAAGAGCAATGACACTTGTGGGAATATTAATATATTTCTCTTTAAAGACAATGTCCCTTACTGTATTTTCTCCCCCAAACTCGACATCCTCAAAGAACCGAGCATTTCCTGTCTCAAAAATTGATTTGGCTGTGGGATCATAAAACTTGTAACCCCTGGATCTTTCAGAGTATCCAATAAAATAACAACTAATCGTTCTTGAGTCCAG